AGAAATGGTATGACTGAAATCAATAATGTGCAGTCCAATCCTGACTAATCTTCTGGAAACTTTAAAATCTCTGCCCCATCCCAGCCCCTCCCACATAATTACAAAGACAGGATATGAATAAAATTCTTAAGATGCTTGGCCTAGTAAAACAGCAGCGATGGTTTTCAAGGTATGTGAGATGTTCAAGGAATGGTTTACAAACAGGACCTCCCAATGAGTTTGCAATGTGAGCAAGGACTGAAATACACAAGAAAGTGCTAGAAATTATAACTAGAGATGGTATTCATATATGAATATCCTCCCACAGGTGCAGATAACAAGGGTCTGTCCCCCTGGGGCCTGACCGACCACTCACCTGTCTGCTGCTGCGGGCTCCGTGATCCCTTCCCATCACTTCGGACCTTGTGATAGATTAGCCACTCTTAGCAGAAGGTGAGATTATAAGCCTCTCTGCCAGGTCGAAGAGTGGCTAATCCATCGTAAACTCCAGAGTGATAGAAAGGGATTGCTGAGTCCATGGCAGCAGTGGAATTGTGAATGGTCAATCTGGCCCCAGGGGGCCAGACCCTCATCTGCACCTGTGGGGGAATATTTGTATTCGTATATCCCCATCTCTTATTATAATAAAATGTCTTTCCAAGAACGTAAGAAAAGCCATGCTGGCTTGGACAGAGGGTGCACACAAGCCATCTGTCTGTTGCCTAGAGACAGCCTGCCAAAACTACACAAGTTACTGTAACTGCACCCTACCTTATTCCTGTTAAATGATACACAATTCCCTGCAACCAAGTCTGAAAAAACAAAGGAAGTGTTTGGAGTGTCAGAAAACATTTGACATGATTTTGGTATCACAGATATCACTAATTGTAAGTTAACTTTTGCTGCTCACACCCCAAAAGTATAACTTCAGCTAGAGGAGTTAGTTAAACCTACTGTAGTTTGTGGCCTAGAAAAGCTTCATCTATTAATTACAAAGCACCAAAGTTAATTTCTGGTTCTTTAAGCAGTAAAATCTTGTAACAACTTGGCCAGAAAGAAGCAAAAATGAATTGTAAAGTTTCTCTGTGGCCCACTTTTATAAAATTCCTGACTTCTTTTTACATATCCTTAGCATGTTCAGACATGTGAGCAGGTCCTATCTTGTCACACAATCTATTCAAAGTTCACAATGGAATTCACCAGAATGTAACTAACCTGGTGACTGACTGTGCTACTGAGCAACACCATTAGTGAATAAAGGTTAGTTATTTCTCTTCGAGGACTGTAGCACACCATGATGACTGATGGCATCTAAGCTGCTGGACAGTTAACTCCCACCAGTCTTCACTAGCACAACCAACATTAAGGAGTGCTGGGAGTTGTAGTGCAACCAATTTTCCCTCTAGAGACTAGAGGGCTCCATCCCCTGTGCGCAGAGTTCCAGCCACAAACGGACGCAAACTTGGCAACACACTCTCATGCAGTTTAGAAGGAATACTGAGTGCAACATATGGAAAGTTGCACTTTGCCTGCCCCAATCTACATGGTGCAAAAATAAATCGAATATGGCACTTCAGTTCTTACTAAATAATCCTATAATGCATATTAGGTCTTTAATAGGTTTACATAAGGAGAATCCACTTACTATTTGTCAAAATTAATCCTGTGGTGGTGCATACCCCCAGCATTACCACGGCCTCCAGGATGTTTCCTGTGTTTACCTGTGACAGACAGTAATAAAAGAATAACACTGCAATTTAGTTTAGAAACAAAACTCTGAATCAAGAGGTTATTTCCTCATATTTACCCCTAGTCCTCCTGATACATATGGTTGTCAACATCAAGAGCTACATTCAACAGTACCATTCTCAACTTAAAAATAGTTTCAAGATACAACAGGATTTTCTTCTTTCTTAAGTATACAGATAGAAGATTCCAAAAATCACAAATCAGTTCAAACTAATAAATGAACTAATCTTCTGTACTTGATATGAATGAATGTGAGGGCTTAAAAAAGAAACTAGAACATTTTACTGGTGGCAAAATTTGGAGGGCCAAAGGTTCTCAAACTCATGAATACTGGTGCAGCAGCAGGGGCATCCGTAAAATGCAATGTTTTTATAATGAAGGCAATACTTTTATTTTAGGGCTTTACTCAAGATATTCAAGATAAGGTTTTTGCTTGAGATAATATACAGCGCTAGATCAGGAGTGAAGAACCTCAGCCCTCCAGACTTTTCAACTTCCAAAGTCCTGATGACACTGACACTGCAGCCAATAAGAGACTGTGGATTCTAGTGGAAAAGATTTCAGCAAATACTTCTCAGTTATACTGTAAACCTATATGACATTCAAATAGGAGATGAATTTATGCACACCAGAAACTTCTAATTCTCCAAAAAGGGGCATATGTCCTTATACAGTATTCCCAACTAAACCAATGCCTTAAGGAGTGTTCAATCTATACTTCTTTCCCAAAGCCTTTCCTAGTCTCAGGGACTTTGTGATCCAAATGAGAAAGGTGTACACAACCTTATCTTTCTTGCAAAGGATTGTTTCTCTTCTGACCTCTGATTTGGAGATGGTCAAAATAAATAACCTGTGACTGCAGGACATTTTTCTCACAGTTAAGATTGCAATATTGTACATAATCACCTAGCAGTAAATTTTTTAAAAAAACTGTGTCTTCTGACAAATACACATTAGTTTGATGTGTAAATTTTATATGCCAGATTGTATAGTTCTATTTTCTAGTGAAAATATGAATTTTAGTATTGTTAAAGTACTAAATATTAACTCTGACAATTCCTATTGCATATGCTCAGTTCCACCACAACTTCCACTTCCTTTTCCACATGATAAAACCTCTATATTAACACACCTGTAATTTTTTATATGTGTGGCACTTACCAATACGGCCATGGCCGTGGCTCACATGACCCCTGAGTTTCCTGGTCTTCCTCAACCTGGAAGGCTTAAGAGAAAATTTGTAAGGAACTACTCTGTATCAGAAAATCAAATAAACATTTTGGCTTCGCTGGGCTGGCAGCTCTGTGGCACTTCTTGAGCTAACACTTTGAGCACACGTTATTTATTTCTCTTTTAAAAGAACTCCGTCCCCGAGTCCCGTCATGCAGACGTTTGCGGGAGAAGCCTTTCCAGCCGGAAGAGGCGCCGGCCGCCGCCCTCGGCACGGGGCTCTCCGGGGTCACGGGCCGGCTCAATCCGCCGCGAGAGGGAAAAAAGGCGGGCATAGAGAGAGAGAGAGAAAGAGGGCCAAGAGCGCGGTCCCCGGCGCCTCCCCCCACCCTCGAGGGCGACATCGCCGTTGGCCGCCTAACCAACCCCCACCCGGACAGGCGAGCTCGCGGGGCCCCCGAGAAACCCCTCCTCCTCCTCCCCCGCCCGCCAGAGAGGGGCCTCGGCTCCCCGAGAAACCAGCCCGTTTCCAAAGAAACCGAAGAAAGCGCGCGGCCACGCCGCCCCACCACCTACCATCTTGCCGGGCCGCAGCAAAAGGAAGAGAGGCCGCACCTCTCGCGAGAGGGCGGGAAGGCCCGGGAGGACTGCTTCTCTCGCGATAGCTCAATCCTCGGGAGGAAGAAGGGGGGAAAAGTTTAAAGGGAACGCGAAGACGGTTCCTTTGAAACTCTTTACTTCCGGATTCTATTCGATCCACGCCGGACAAGAGGAGCCGAAAGCCCAAGGATTATGAGTGTAAACCTTTGAGGAAGAATGGCTTTGAGACAACCGGACTTTTAACTTCCGGGCTCAGCGGTCGGGCCGATTGCCCCCCCCCACACACACTGATCGCTGGAATCAAACTTTGAGGAACGATCAAGGGTATGAAGACCTGTCATTAAGCCCGCTCGTAAATTTGGTGTAACAGGAGGCGTTTTAGCACATGAGTTTGATTCATGTTTTCTTTCTGTCTCGGTGCTAACATGAGCTTCCAAGCCAGGAGAGAGTCACTTGCTCACTGCGGTTTTGAACTGAAAGCCGGTATGTAGCAGTATAGCTGAGCAGCCACACCATTAAAACCACCTGCCTAATATCGTGGAGGTCCTCCTCATGCTGCCAAAACAGCTGTGATGCGTCAAGGCATGGTCTCGACAAAACCTCTGAACGTGTCCTGTGATATATGGCACCAAGACATTACAGGAGAGAGTCACTTGCTCACTGCGGTTTTGAACTGAAAGCCGGTATGTAGCAGTATAGCTGAGCAGCCACACCATTAAAACCACCTGCCTAATATCGTGGAGGTCCTCCTCATGCTGCCAAAACAGCTGTGATGCGTCAAGGCATGGTCTCGACAAAACCTCTGAACGTGTCCTGTGATATATGGCACCAAGACATTAGCAATAGATCCTTTGTTTTAAATCCTGCAAGTTGTAAAGTGGGGTCTCCATGGATCAGATTTGGAGTTCCTGGACATCCCACAGATGTTCCATGGGATGGCGATATGGGGAATTAAGAAGCCAAAGCAGTACCTTGAACTCTTTGTCATGTTCCTCAAAGTATTCCTGAACAATTTTTGCAGTGTGGCAGGGTCCAGCTGAAAGAGGCCACTGCCATCAAGAAACACCACTGTCATAAATAGGTGTACGTGGTCAGCAGCAATCTCTAAGTAGGTGGTACATGTCCATGTAACATCCACATGAATGCTAGGACCCAAGGTTTCACAAAAGAACATTGCCAAGAGCATAACACTGCCTCCATTGGCATCAAGCTGCCATCTCTTCCCCAAGTAAACTATGCACACACACCTATCCATCTGATCTAAAAAAAAAAAATGATTTGTCAGACCAGGGAACCTTCTTCCAACACCTATCCATCTGATCTAAAAAAACATGATTTGTCAGACCAGGGAACCTTCTTCCATTGCTCCATGGTCCAGTTCTGACACTTGAGTCCTCATTGTAGGCACTTCGTTGGTGGAAAGGGGTTATCATGGACACTCTGACTGGTCTGCAGCTACACTTGAGTCCTCACTGTAGGCACATTGTTGGTGGAAAGGGGTTATTATGGACACTCTGACTGGTCTGCAGCTACGCAGCCCCATATGCAGCAAACTGAAATGCTCTGTAGGTCTTCCGGGGAACAGCCTATGGCACAGTGATTAAACTTGTATTGCAACCAAAACTGCTCATGACCCATGTTCAATCCCAGGTAGCTCGCTCGGGGAGGGGGCAAAGTGTAGCCTGCATAATTAACTTGTAAACCACCCAGAGATTGCTTGAAGTGCTATGGGGATGGTATATAAACAGCACACTTTGCTTTTTTCTGTGTGATCAGACCAGACAGGCTAGCCTTCATGTCCCATGTGCATCAATAAGCCTTGGATGTCTGCAACCCATTCTTTGGTTGCCCTTCCTTGCATCACTTTTGGTAGGTACAGTACTAACAATTGCACACCAAGAATGTCCCACAAGATTTGGTGTTTTGGAGGTGCTCTGACCCAGTTGTCTAGCCATTGCTATCTGGTCCTTGTCAAAGTCACTAAGATCTGTTTGCTTGCCCTTATTTTCTGCTTCCAACACATGAAATTCAAGAATTGACTGCTCACTTGCTGCCTAATACATCCCCACCCCTTGACAGGTGCTGTTGTAACAATATAACCCATGCTATTCACTTCACCTGTCAGTAGCTTTAAAGTTGTGGCTGATCAGTGCAGGGCAGCAGGAGAAACCCAGTGCAGTGTAGTTGGTAGAATTATGGACTGTACAGCTCAGGAGGTCTGGGTTCAAATCTCCACTCAGCCATGGAAACTCACTGGGAATGTGGAACTGCTAAAACAAATCCTTAAATATTTCACTTACCTTGAAAGCCCTATTGGGGTTGATATACGTAAGTCAGTTCTGACTTGATGGCATGTAACAACCGGGGCAGCATAGGAAGACAGTTACATCAAGTCACCATAATCCTCTTCTGCTGTTTTTTTTGGGGGGGGGGTGAATTTTGGTTAAAAGGAGCAACATTCTAGGAATTTGATCATTCCTTTAGTTAGCAGAGTATAAGGCAGAAAATAAAACCAAGAAAAACATAGAAAGATCAGCTCCACCTCACCAAACACCCTTGTTGATCTGCACACAAAACATGCACTTGGTATGGTAAAATTCGGTGTAAAAGAATTTCAAGTAGAAAAAAATATCTTTAATTATAGCTACCATCTTTAGTTACAGTAAGGGGAGAGGCACAAATGGAGTTTCCAGCATGCAGGAGCCCCTGTATGCTTGCTGCTTGGAGAATGGTCAGAGGAAGAAGAGGGAACTATCAACAACACAATGGGAACAAAAAAATGAACAGAAAGAGGTGAGGGGGGGCTTGCCTCAAATGTCAGAGGGGGGAGAAGTACTTTACCAATCAGATTAGTGGCAAAGTAGTCACATTAGGCTATGTGAATGGTCACATTTGATCAGATAGGCGGGGTAGTACATGCAAGATTACTGTTTTCCAAACAATTGTATGGTAATTGGGTGACTATGCAATCCTATCATATGGGGAGAAGCATCTAGAGATTCATACTCAGAAGAAATGTTTGGGATCCCACTTCCAGAATAGAGAGGAGCTCTGTCATTGGAGAGGGAGACATTATCATTTCTGATTTCCCAGCCACCCAAGAAATATTGGGTGGCACTCCAGTGGGGTAGCAGAGGAGATCTACTAGGACTCTCACCCTAGCTACAGATCTTCACAATTCTTGGAACTAGCATAGATCAATTCCTTTTGCCATTTCTGTCCTGCTGGCATGAACTGCTGGCAGAAATTTGGATCCCTCACAGCCTCCTGCATTAAAGTTCCCACTCACCACAAATAGACTTGCTTTCTAAGAATATTCTTTTCCTTACAGCACACCCTCTCTTACAGGTAGGAACAAAGAGAGACTTTCATGAAACCCTAGGTTGTGTTGGGGAAGAAGAGAATGATATTTAACTGTTCAAGGGTCAACATGGTCAAAGCTGTAGAAAGCAAGAAATCTGTGTTTAAGGTGTTCCTAGTTTTCAGTTCCTGAACTTCTTACTGAAAAAAAATCTTTTCTAATGCTTAAAGCCAAACACTCAACACTCTTGACAATGCTGAAGATGTTTGTTGAATTGCCCTGTGGTTTATAAATTATTGTTCTACAAATACTTCTTTGACTAGGTGTGCTAATTGTCTAGAAAGAACATTACCTGGCCTTCTTTTCTGCTTTTAGCAGTGCTGGATCTGCAAAAATCAATGTGTAAAGTTTTCCCCCTCCCTTGTTACATGCCATTAAGTCCCTTCTGACTTTTGGTGACCTTAATAGGGTTTTCAAGCACATGATATGTTCAAGGGGTAGTTTACTGTTAACAACCCCCTCCCACCTACCCACCCCCGCGATTTTCAATGCCCAAATGCGGACTCAAAGCCTGAACTCCTGATTTGGGTGAGCCTGAAGTCTCCCACCTCTTTGTTAAAAAACTGATTGAAATTTTGAGAGACTAACTTGGAGGGGGAAGTAGACACATGCAATTGTATTAATACCATTTAAGACTTTTGGTCCATTCATTCCAGTACTGTTGTTTTGACTGGCAGTGGGTTCCCAAGGTTTGTAGTAAGCATATTCCCATTCCTTGCTATTGACCCATTTCAGCTGGAGATGTCAGGAACAGAACTCAACAATCGCAGGTAGAGCATCTCTCGTAACACTGAGTGATGTTCCTTTGCCGTCCCATGTGTTTATTTTCAAATTGGTGCATTATTTCTAAAAAGTGGCTGATGATGCTAATAATTTTGCCAGTAATTCCATAAAGTAAAATGCTACCCTGCTCCCAAGGAAGCTGTGCTTTTGATGAATCTAAATATCTGGTTCCTGGGTTATTTACCATTATTCTGAGTATTAAAATTGGTGTTCCTAAAACTACATGTGGTTACACTCCACGTTTGCTTCCTTTGAAATCACGAACTCAAGTAGAACTCTGGTCACTTCCCCCAGAGTTCTCCTTACTGCCACTTCTTCGACCAAGTTCTCTTTATTGGTTAGAATGAAATCCAGGATAGCTACTCCTGTAGTTTTTTTTCCACTTTTTGTAGGAGAAGATTATCAACAATCCAATTCAGAAAGTTTCCTCCCAAAAGGTATCAGGATAATTAAAAATCTCCCATTATTACTACGTACATTGTGTCTCTTTGAAATTCTTGCAATTTGTTTTTCAAAGGTTTCATCTGCATCGTCTTGATTGGGGAGTTGGTAATACCCTGTTTCCCTGAAAATAAGACCTAACCTGAAAATAAGCCCGAGTATGATTTTTCAGGATGCTCGTAATATAAGCCCTACCCCCCAAAATAAGCCCCAGTGAAGTGAAACCCCACCCTCCACCAATGTGCAGCATTCTGCAGCAAGCAGAAGAAGATGACATGACTGTGTTTGAATAAATGTAGATTGTTGTACGTGGAAAAAAAATAAAACATTCCCTGAAAATATGCCGTAATGCATTTCTTTGGAGCAAAAATTAATACAAGACCCTGTCTTATTTTCAGGGAAACATGGTAGACTCCAACTACCACTTTCCTTTTTTTTGCTCA